ACTACTACTACTAGAACTACTACTACCAAGGGCTTGCATCAGGCCTCATGTTGAAGTACAGACATGCTTGCCTGGTGTCTGCCTTTTTCCGGTCCGAAACCTCTTTGTGCGCCGACACCAGCCTGCGGAAAGCAACGGGCCATGCAAGCGATGATGCTGCTGGCGACCAGACTGCAAGATGCTGCTTTCTCTTGCATGCCGAGCCTGGCTTCTTTACGGAACAGGTGACTAACCTCGTGATTTGAGCTAGATTCGAGGAAGAGCCTGTCTCAACTCGTTTCTCAATCATTCCTCCTGTACAAAACCTTGCTACAGACTGGTGCGTCGTGAAGCAGAAGAACCTGCACCATACAACAAACATATGACTTACAAGACTTAAAATCTTCGACAGAGTCGTTGCCATGCCAAGAATAGTGACTGTACGAATATGGTGGGAATGGAATAGAGTCAAGCGTTTCAGGCAGCGAAGCCTTTGTAAGGCTCATGCATGTCAACTCGCGGTTGCAATGTCTATGTTAGGTTCGGAAAAGTTGCCAAGAAAGACAGAAGAATCAGTGCGAGAGGGGCCCAGCCTTGCTCTTGAGCAGATCCCATGTCGAGCTGAATGGTTTCGAGACTGAGTCAAGTGCTACCCGAAATTTATCGTCCAACCTCTGGGAGCCTGGAACCCGAGACTGTAGGAAAGTGTGAGAATCCCCCAGTTCAACAGGCAGAAAAACCGGACCTCTTCCCAGACTTTCAGGTAGCCCAGGGGCAGACTTGGAAGCCCTACCAGGTCCAGGCCAGGGATACCGACTCGAGGGTTTGGGCCTTGGTGCTTTCAGCCGTTTCGGGCCAGGGTGTCTGCTGAACTTGTGGACCTCCTCGTGGTCTAGCAGGGCTCAGCACTGGGGTTTAATCTTCTCTCTTCTTGTTGCAAATGCTGAGAAATGCTTCTTTCTGATCACACACTGCGGTGTGTGGCGACAGCAGGCATCCTACGCCATATCCTTGCCTAGCACTGCGCACACACCCGTCCGGGCAAAGAAAGAGATGAAACGGCTTGCACACTCCTCCACCCTTCCTTCAGGTCGCCGCGGCAAGCAAAAGTATCAAGTTAATTGACGGAGTTCCTTGATGAGTCCTGCCACCACACGCGTGTATACGAACAAGAAACCTTACTATGGAATGAAGAACTCCGTGTCGTCGAGGCTCCATTGCCGCCACGGCGACCTCGAGCGACAGCCAGCGTCCGACATCAGGCAGTGTTAGGATGGAGGGTTTCAGGTAAGCTGAATAATTTATGTTCATTTTTGCTCTGCGGGTATTTGGACCACGGGTGGGAGGGCAGTGGAAGATCAGGTTGGCAGCAGTGTTGCCCTGCAAATCCCCGGCCATAGCCCGAAAAGCAACTCATCCTCAACAAAAGAGTCCACTGTGAAGCACTGACCGTGGGTGGAGAGCCAGAGCCCTGTGGAGAGCCCTTTTACCGGACGGCTCGAACTGTTGAGTTGCAGTCCCCTGCCAGGGTTCAACTGCCGCTGCTGCCGCTGCAGTGCTTGCAGCCACAGCAGCTTCCGGCCGGAGGTGAGGAAACAGGTTTGTTTGTGGACTACGGCGAAATTTCCGAGAGGCCTCATGCGGCAAAACTCCGACGCACTTCTGCTTGGGAATTGAGGTTCTTTCTGCCTTGGTCGTTTTGCGATTGAAAAAGTTTTGCCTCATGCTTTTTCGGGTGTTGAGGTGTAAGGAGAATCTGACTCGGCAGCTTCAGATTGCGGGGGGAATCAAGGAATGCTGCGATTACCTCAGGTTCCGCCAAACCCTTTGGGTCAGGTGATGGAGCCTTCATGTATATGTTTTGCTCCTGCTGCAGGCCACGATGCAGTCGCGCGGCCATCGACGATGAGCTGGGCTATGGCCGAGAGGACCCAGCCATCTGTAAAGGTCCGGCCAGAGCACGTATTCTGAGATGAACCTCGACGGCTCTAAAATCTAGAGTCCAGAGAGCCTGCGACTCAACCTCTCAACCCTGTTCCCCGAAAGCTTTGTAGACATCCCGAGAGCCGTCTGGCAATCAGGATATCGGCCCGGGGGGCGAGGATCCCGAGGCAAAGCCATTTGTCGCCTTGGGCTTCCGGGCTTTGTTTTTGTTTTTGTTTTTTGGCTTTTGCAGGGCTCGTCACAAGAATTACCGAAATACCACCGATGAATCCCATGGCTGCGGGCTTTGGGTTTTCTGTTCGATCGCCAAAGTGGTGTTGGCAGAGTTGTTTCGGAGGCTCGGCTCGGGATTGTCATTTGCGTCTACGTGTGGGTGGGCGGGTTGTTGGGTGTGCATGTGGGTGGGTGCGTTTGCGCGCGCCACAGCTCTCCGGAGCTCTACAGAGTTCGAACCTGCACAGTCGGATGCACTGCGCTGAGCCTCCGATGTTGTCAGACTTCTCAGGCCAGAGGCTCTAATTCCAGTCCTCCAGACTTCTCTACACCTCTTTCGTGCTCAGTCAGCAGGTCATATTGAGGACTCAAGCCTTATTCAAGCAAAAGATGGACAACGCCACAGCTCTCAGACAGCCCCTCCGAGCCATAACCTCCTTGAGCTCTCGAGCCTGAGCCTCCCTAGACCCCCGAGCTGGAAGGCACTTTAAGGTTTAGGGTTTAGGGAGAACCGCAATAAACGTCGTGCCAGGGCCGCTACACCTGGGAGCGCTGTGGAGTCCGGATTTGGATTGATGGTGTCGTTTGTTTGTTGGCGTCATAGTGGTAATCAGTGTGGCAAAGAGACTAGGTAGGTAGGCCGGTGGGACAGGAATTACCGTTGATTGTGGGACAGAATGACCACTTCAAAAGAACGTGCTCATACATATAAAAGAGAGAGAGAGAGAGAGAGACAGGCAGACAGAGAGGGAGAGACGGGAGAGAGAGGAGGGGGGTAACGAGGACGAAAGAGATTTCGAGACAGAGCAAGTGTGTGAAATACAGCGAAAGGCAAAGAGCAACATGCAGAGACCGACAGAGAACACGTGTCGTGTTTGTGTGTGGGTGTGATTGCGCGCGACTGCTCCGATAGCAATGCCTGCGAGAATCTATAGCTGGCAAAGCTGGCTTGCCGCTTGCCAGGGATGGCAGAGCCGACAGCAGTCAACCGTTTCTAGTTGCCTACATCCCAACTGTCAGCAATATTGAAGCCCGTAGTGGAGCCCGCATGCCACGGACAGTTAAGTGAATGACATCGGTAGTGGGCCGGCCAAGTGGTTGAGACTGCAGAGCCTTGTTTCCTCCTTGGCTTGAGGGAATCGATGCCTGCCACGCGCCCAAGGAATGGAGGTGGTGGTGACGGCATCAATTGATGAAGATGTCACGAAGAAGGATATCTCTGCCGACTGGTCACTGCGAAAGGCTGGGAAAGTAGAGAGTTGAGGGCAAGCTCCAGGGTTAAAGAGTGATGCTGTCCTTTTCGGGTATGGTTCGGAGAAGTGAGGGATGGTGACGTATGCCAGTGCACACTGCAGACGGACAGCTCCGCTGTTCCCCAACCGTGCTTCAGGTCAAGAGCCAGCAGCAGCTAGCTGCGACTGTAGCACATTGCCACCTCGCATGCTTTTCTGTGAACTGTGTGTTGGAAGGCTTCGTTGAAGATCAAGGGAGAGGCGCTCTTTGATGGTATTCCTGGCTGCGAGCTGGATGTGGATGAATGTTTCTGGGAAATCGACGAGGACGCACAGGGTATTGTTGCCTCAAAGCAGAGTCGATAAACGTGTGGATAGGTGCCATGCTTTGCAGGCTGGGGTCGGGCAGCAAGCGTTTTGGTCTTCGCCTGAGTCGTGCAGGAAATCAGAAAAATTCAAATTCATGCCTTGCTGCCTTGCAGGACGACGACGGAAACAAGAAGCTCATGGTCCACCTCAAGAAGAAACTCACCCCATTCAACAAGTTTTGCACATGCGTCGTTTCAACTTCTACAGATTGGCAATTGGAGCCGAGCGCAGTTCTAAGTCTGGGGGGGGTTCTGATGGTACCTCAAACCGAGAGCCACGTCCCAGGAAGGGTACCCTGTCCCGGTGGCCGGACACCTTGCTGAAGGATGGCTGAATCGCGCAGGCACGTCTGAGTTGTAGCGACGACAAAGGACGGCGCGTGTAGCTAGTTATAAGGCATATCCAGTGAGCTGAGCCACATAGCTGGAAATTGTGTTTCGTGACGCCTCTCTTAGAGCCGCTTTAGAGCTCGAACATACTTGCAACACCGACCGCAGTGCCACGGAGACCAGACACACCCACCTCCTGCAATCTCCTGTATTTACATATCCTTGCTTATCCATTCTACCTTATTCGATGAATCGTATAGGACCAGGTACAAAGGCGGCCTGTGCTCAACTCTGTTTCGACCGTGTAGGATGGTGCAGGTGGCAAACATACATGCATGCCTGCATGCATGGATACATACCAGTACATTACATTACAGTACAGTACAGTACAGTACCTTACGCTGCATCACTTTACATTGCATTGCATTACATTTCATTACATTACATCACATTTTCACAGGTACATATACACACATGCATGCATGGATGCATACATACATACATTTATACATACATGCATATGCTCATACAGACAGATACATGCATATATCGTATACATGTACACATGCCTGCATGCATACAAGCATACATGCCTCTATATGCATGCACGGTGCTATCTTCTGTTGTGAACATACTTATAACGTTCTCACGCTGCGTCTATACCGCATGTCCGTTGATTCTGCGGGACTGCTGCACCTCAGTACTGTAGGAACACGTACCTCGATGCATGCGATGGCACCAGCATCTAATATTGCGATGCAGGTCAATCTGCGCAGCACTGCCGCGCTTACAGCATGAGAGAACGGGAGCTTAAATGCAGAACGATTGACAATGCCTTCAATGCAGTGGTGTTGGCAGCTTACAAGAGTGAGCTTCGTTAGGCGCATAAATGCCACGTGCATACTCGAGTTATTTTCCAGAACAAAATAGCGCGAAAGCAATGTGAACGCAGATGCACATAATTCGCGCGTAAATAGGTCAGTTACATACATACATACATACATACCTACCTACCTACCTACCTACGTACGTACGTACGTACGTACGTACATACATACATACATACATACATACATACATACAATGTCAACAATGTACGTATAAGCAGCGAGAGACACGCATATGGTCATCATGGCCCGGCAGGTCAGAAGCTGCCCAAAGGAGATGGTGGCCTGACAGCGGCGGCAGAGCGACCAAGAAATCAAGATTTCTATGCTTCTATATATAGCAAGCCTTGACTGCGAACCGTCGGACAGCTGCAAAGCATAGACATCGGCTTGCAAGAAGCTCTGGTCATGCCAGACTCGTCCTGAATTATCCACAATCCATAGGTCCTCAAGCCCCATAAGTTTGCATGCTGAGCCCTGCTTGCCAGTTCTTCAAGATAGGACTCCCAGCCGAGTTTTCAATCATCTGTTGGTTTACGTTTCGGGCTACGGAACTCAGCATTTGGAGTTTGCCCCCAGCGATTTTGTCTCTATATATCAAATTCCAAAAGGGTCGCAGCTGGCTGCTTCGTTTGAACCAGATTTACGGCCAGGTGCCATAGCTCCAGGATGCCACAGCTGCCAACTACCAGCCACGACCACGCGGATTTTGGGCTTGTTTAATGTCCAAAGACAAGAGCTTAAGGATTTGGGCGAAACCTTGAACTGTCTCGTTCCAGCAGCACGTGGCGACCTGGAGCGTGTCCCTTGAAGAGACCTTTAGAGAGCACGTGCCAACTTGTGGAAAAGAGAGGTCCGAGGGATCATTGTGAGGTGCAGCAAGAAACTACCTGGAGCCCTGCAGTCCTGAAGCTTCCAAGGACCATGATTGAGAGGTTAGAATCTTGCTTTCCAAGCTTTAAACCCGAAGCCATGCAAATGTGTTGAGCATCATCGTGAAGGCGCCCCTCGCCGTGGCCGCGAGGCAGCACCCGCGCAGGATGCTGACACTGCGATGGCCCGGGACCATGGGGCAAGCAGTGTGTTGACATAGGAGCCCAAATGGTTCGATCAGGGTTTCGGGAAAAGGGAGAGACTATGCTGCGCTACTGTCAATGACCCGGGCTAATTATAGCGGAACGCTATGAGCGACGGGCCCAAGGATGCTGGCAGAATATTCGCTTAGAGGGGAGCGGGGTGCATAATTGCTTGGCTTCGAATAGCTTCGACTCGGTCTAGGTATGGACCTACAACAGATGTGAGGTTTGTGTGCGGTACAGCGACGATTACTCTTCGTGGCTCCCACTTTCAGTGACGCCCGTGATGTCTCAGTCCGGTCTCGTGCAAAGCGAAGACTGACCACATGGAGAGATTCTGATATAGTTAATATACTACAAAGTAGAATATACTATATTATAAAATGTATATTTTACTGCAACTACTGGAAAGTTTGTTCTAGGAAAAACAGTCTGCTTTGGTATGGCTTCGACGGCTGTCGGAGTGCACGAGAAGTCGCTTGATCATCGTGCCACTGGCCGATCCAACTGCTTTCTTCACCCTGATACTCTCAAACAGCCGCTGGTGCCGGAGTCATTCACGAAAAGCCCTAGCCCGACTTCTTCAACCCTATAAGGCTCAAAATGGCCCAAAAGCCTTAAGATATGAGTCCTTAGAGCCTTAGGGCAAGTGTCCTTAGGCAACGGAAGATGCGCAGATGGGCCCATCAGAGCAGCCCCTCGACCTTAAGGGTTCAGCTCAGAGTCGGGTTTAGGGTTTAGGGTCTCAGAGAGATCTCAGTGTCGATGCTCGCCTTACAGTGAGCGAGTGATGCTGGGGACCGGGCTGCTGTGTACGAGGTCTGCTGTAAAAGGGTCTCAGGGAGTGTAAAAACTTCAAAGAGGACTAGAGCACTCTGCAAGGTTTCGGAAAGGCGAGGTTAAGCCTCACTTGCAAAAGACGCCGCGGACTGTGCCAGGACACGACGCATTGCTTCAATTGGTTGCGTTGCTGTTTGCCTTCACACAATCTGCGGACCTTTTCATAGTAAGAAACAGGGCTTCAACAGAAATTTGCCATTCAATCGACTTCATTCTCCTGCCGACTCTTTTGTCCGGTCACTTTTACACACCTTGCCTTTGAGCTGGTTTGATGTTCGCAGTCTTGTCGGAGTATTGAAGAGGGTCGAGTGGATGCGCCATCATCCTTCGAAGTGGACTGGCGATGAAAGTCACACCTTGTCCAGCATTTGTGGTAAAGTTTGGTTCATGGGCTACAAGGTTTAGGACGACAAAACCGCCCAACACTAAGGGATAGCGAGTGTCGCATCTTCAACCCCTCCGACAGGGAGGAGGGCACCGGGCCTGAACATCAATACACCTGGGGATCAAAGGCTCAGAGCGGCACATAGGTTTAGGGTGGTGTAGGCCAGTGCTGAAACCCTCCGCTGCTTCAGGCTGATGGAGGAGGACGATTCTTGGCCGTATCCAATCGAGCAAGGTTTTCAGAGACCTTGAGCCCTGCAGCTTGCGGTTCTGCTTTGCCGCTTTACATGTGCAGGTACATAAAGCACATGTGTCCAATACGAAATAGCCAGAGATGTTCTCATATAGTATGTATACGAGTTGTCTGTCTGAAGTTAGCTGCTGCCATACTCAAACATGCCTGGACTTACATACAACATATTCACACAGAGGCACACTGGTGGCGTTGTTTTGAAGCGGAGCTTTTGTTTCTAGACCTTGTCTGATTTGTCTGTGAGAGTGCACGTTCAGTGTTTCGACCAAACCAGCGATGTAGTCATCAGCATATGTTTTCGTAGGCAGTGGGTGTAAGGCTTACTAACAACAGGTCATGCCTAATTGTAGTGTCCTGCGCACTTCCCCAGGCAGAATCCCGTAAGCTAGCTGCTCAGCAGTCGCTTCCCTGCTGTGTTGTGCAGGACAGTTTGTGAACCGGCTAACATAGGGGCTTTAATAATTACCTATAGTATGTTGGGGGTTCCAGTATTGTAACTATATTATAATGTACCCCAAAACTCAAAACTGATTATTAAGACCCCTATGTCTAGTACACAGAGATCCAGAGTAAAGTCCCGAGATGACACAGGCTGCAGCTACGCCCCAGAAGACATTCGAGTCGATGCACTTGCACAACCTGCCCTGCGACCCTGAACTCGAAGCCGAAAGGCCATGGATCCCACAAGTGTTCGATGACTTGTCGTCGACGCGAAGTAGGAGGAAACAGACGCCCCAAGATCAGTTGAGTCATCATCCTGACAGTATCCGACAGTATCCAACATCGACGACAGTGCCTCGCCTGGACTGTGGCGCGTACCCAAAACCCCGAATCATGTGGAAACTACACCGACACGAGGAAGATGTGGCATTCGAAGCCCTGCTCGAGAAGCGTGTGCACCAGGAATACGACAAGGATGGGTCGGAGTGGCCTTTGTTCTCTTGCGGGGGCTCAGGGTTTTCAATGAGAATCAGAGGTTGGATTCTGATTGAGTCTTTGCACGTTCCTGCACCAATGCTAACACGACCTTTCTGAAGGTCCGCCGCTGTCGCATCAGCAAGGGCCTGGGGTTAGGGCTTAGGGTTTAGGGTTCAGGGCTTAGAGTTTAGGATTAAGGCCCTTTTGTAACGACTCGGTGGTACTAGTAATTCAGCGCAGCTGCCGCGAAATGACCGAGACTTCACTGCTAGCTAGTTGCGATAGGGCCACTCGTGTCCTACTACTTGGTGATATCTGCTCATTGATGACTTCACGGCGAGCTTGCGATGATGGAGAGTTTGTCCATGGTGATAAATAGATACCACCAGAATTGCGATGACAGTGTTGGAAGCAATAGGTTCCCGGGTCAACCATCATCGCTGGACTTTGAAGGACTTTGGAGATGACTTTGACGACGACGACGTCTGAGCGATCAGCAATATAGTATAGTATAGTATAGTATAATATAGTATAGTATAGTATAATGTAGTATAATATAGTATAATATAGTATAATATAGTATAATATAGTATGATATAGTATGATATAGTATGATATAGTATAATATAGTATAATA